CTTGATGAATACTCTGGCCCCAGAGAATTCAGATTATGTCACCAAGTGATAAAATTAATTACTGGATTAATGAAGTCTCAGAGGATTAGAAGATATGTAAGCGTCCAAGTTGGGGGAAAGCTGTCTGCTCCAGCAACAGGCATAGTTCTAAGGTAAAGAAAAGCTCCAAAGAGCGTGGTTCCTGGAGGTCCCAGAAGGATGTTGATAGGCCTAAGCCTCCAGGGAGACATTCTATGGGAATTCCTGACAAAGCATAGAAGCAAAGGATTTGCTTGAGATGCAGTAAATGGAGGCATGTTGTTGCCAAATATGGCATTTCTCTGCCTACAGCACAAACTAACCTGACTTTTAATCAGGTGTGTTTGATTGCCCAGTTTGTATTGAGAATGTGTCTATAGTCACCCCTAGCAATGGTGTAAGAGTTAAAATTAAGTTGGCAGGGGGTAACGAGTTTGTTCCTGTTATTGTGCCCTCTGGCCGTGCTGGAAGAATGGTAGCTCCACAGAAAGAGGAATTACCTGCTTTGTTATAACCATGGCATTCCCAAATCGTCAGTCATTATGGAGAGATCAGCAGTAAAACTGTGTGCTGTGAAATGGACATTGCACACAGAGAGAATTTTCCCTCTGTGCAGTGGGAAGACAAAGGCTAAAAATGAATCTGAAAATGTTGCATTGCATGATGAAAAATACTCTGAGTTTTTGGGATTTGGCCGCTAAAGCAAAGTGCTGATTTAGATGGGATAGTCCCTGCACTAGTACAGGAGGTTATTTTGTGGGAAGCATGTCTCACAATTTTGCAATCTCCAGGAGAGTAAAACTGAGTCATATTGTTCAATGGTTAAGGGATGTAGCCCAGAGCTCTTTAATGTTGAGCTAAAGGGAAGACCTAGGAGTACTGAACCCTTTAAAAATGGGCTTGATAAAATGTCTGAAAGTGATTAAAAGCTTCACTCCTTCAAAGTTGAATTAAAGTAAAAGTGATGGTGTTAAAGAAAATGTCCTATTGTGAGGTTTGTAAGTATATTTGCCCCAGACACTCAAAGCTCAGTCAACATGAGGATTTATGCTACTGTGAGAATCCATAAAGTCTATAAAGCAAGAAGAGCTTAAGGAATGATGTCATTGCTTAGTAGTCCTGGTTACACCAACAAAGATACTATGGTTCATAAATCTCCTGATTGTGATAGGGCTGGTTTAACCCAGATTACTTAGAAATCACTCTTGGAAATATACTTGTAAAAACTCTTTGAAATAGCTCTAGACAGGTACGTTTAAAATGTATACCTGGATGCATTGAAAAGTTCCCCTTTAAATGCCATTCAAGCAACAGAGGTATCTCCAAACTGAAAAGGCATGGGAGAAAAGATTATCAAGAAATGCCAGGCAAGTCCTCTCGTGGTCGAGCTTACTTTTGCCAGGACAGGATTAGCAAAAGGTTATGGGTACCCATGAAGAGAGTGAAAGATAGCAGAATTGTCCTGGAAAGAGGGAGAAAGGTTACCGTCTTACTGTGGATACAGTGAGGTAAGAGGAGTTGACCATTGCTTTGGGGTTTCTGTACTCCAACGCATAGTCACAGATCAAAATGGGGGGTACAGTAAGGTCCAATATGTGAAAGACAGATCTTCAGGTTCCCTGAAGTTGTAGGAAATTGATTGGAGTCAGGTGGGTGTGTCCTCACAAAGGACAGCATTCCCTAGCGAGTCGCTGCTCCTATATACTGCAAGAGCAACTTGAAACCTGACATTGTGGAAGCCTGTGTTTATTCCTGTCTGTCTACACAAACAGGCTGGAGAGCCAGACAGACATCTGAGATTTGGAGATGTGAAGGAACAGAGGTGGAGTCTGGGCTAAGCAAGTAGCAGTATATATGTAAGCAGACAACAGGTCCAGTTAAACTAGTTCGGTAGCTAGGTAAGACCAGGGCAGTTTTGTCTTACACCCTGTTCCAAATTATTATGCAAATTATATTTTTCTCATTTACCTAAATAATTGATGTAAATAACAGTCAGCATAATTCTCATGTTATCAACTATTAAGAGTACAATTCAAATTTTATTGAACAAACCTTCTAATGATAACAGTATTTTTTTTTAAACATAAAAAACTTACAATGCACTGTTCCAAATTATTACGCACAGTAAGTTTCAAAACACTTTATATGTTGTAAAGAACTGAAAATTGTCATTTGTTGTGTTTGCAGCATATTTACTGAAATCAAAAGCTATTTCAATCAAACTTTTAACAACATTTTAACTTTTTAAACAACATTTTAACAGGTCACGTTAAATTTTAACATAGGACCCCTTATTTGATAGCAGCTTCACACGTCTTGCATCCATTGAACTTGTGAGTTTTTGGACAGTTTCTGCTTGAATTTGTTTGCAAGATGTCAGAATAGCCTCCCAGAGCTGCTGTTTGGATGTAAACTGCCTCCCACCCTCATAGATCTTTTGCTTGAGTATGCTCCAAAGGTTCTCAATAGGATTGAGGTCAGGGGAGGATGGAGGCCACACCATGACTTTCTCTCCTTTTATCCCCATAGCAGCCATTGATGCAGAGGTATTCTTTGCAGCATGAGATGGTGCATTGTCATGCATAAAGATGATTTTATTACGGAAAGCATAGTTCTTCCTTCTGTACCAGGGAAGAAAGTGATCAGTCATAAACTCCACCTACATTGCAGAGGTCATCTTTACACCTTCGGGGACCCTAAAGGGGCCGACCAGCTCTGTTCCCATGATTCCGGCCCAAAACATGACTTCACCACCGCCTTGCTGACGTCGCAGCCTTGTTGGAACAGGGTGGCCGTCCACCAACCATCCACTACTCCATCCATCTGGAACATCCAGGGTTGCACGGCACTAATCAGTGAACAGGACTGTTTGAAAATTAGTCTTCATGTATTTTTCTGCCCAATGCAGATGTTTCTGCTTGTGAGCATTGGTTAGTGGTGGCCGAATAGAAGGTTTATGCACAGTTGCAAGACTCTGGAGGACTCTACACCTTGATGTCCTTGGGACTCCAGAGGCACCAGCAGCTTCAAATATCTGTTTGCTGCTATGTAATGGTATTTTATCAGCTGCTCTCTTGATCCGATGCATGGATCTGGCAGAAATCTTCCTCAAACTGTTGTAATTCCTACACCGTTCACCTGATTTGGATGTAAATACCCTCAAATTAAAGTTGACAGTCTGCAGTTAAAGCACATCTTGTTAGTTTCCTTTCAAATCCAGTGTGGTGGTGTATAGAGCCAAAAATGTTAGAAATTGTGTCGATGTCACAATATTTATGGACCTGACTGTATATTTTGGTCTGTTTGTTGATTGATTCTCACCTCTTCCTGAACTTCTTTTATTACTCTGGCCTGTGTCTGGTTTGTGTTTGAGAAACATCCCCCCAATTCATGTGATCCTTATCAGTTCTTAATTGGGGCAGAGAAAAGTTGCTCATTTGACCATCTCCCTATAAATTTAGATTAGCTCATAGGGGGAGGTCACATATAGGGGAGCACAGTCACAATATTTATGGACCTGACTGTATACACTATTTGTTCAGAGATAGCAGATTTGGGGATAATGGAGATTTGTGACTATGTCCCATCTGGATCTTCAACTTTTTGTTGGACATACCCCCTAAGGGGTCTTCAGAGACAAGATTCTATTGGCAAATGGAAAACAGCCCTGGACCTGTATAGCACCTTGTGGCTAACTCACTGTATTGCACTGCACTTTGTGCCTAAAGGAGTGCCAAACACCGATCCAGAGCCTGCAGCAACTTTACATGCTGCTCTCTCATCTTTTTCCTGGCAGTCTGGGCACAGCATTCACATATGTGGTATACCTGTAATGGTTAGGAGTAGGAGAATTTGTTTTGGGTTGTTCTTTGGTGGTAGATCATGGTAATGGCAAGAAATATACAGATAAATTCCAATATTTTTTTTGGAACATATTTTTTTTTATTAAAAAAAATAAGATATATTCACTACGATTTACCACCAAATAAAGCCCAGTTTGTCCTGAAAGAAAACAAGTTATAATTCACTTGGATTTACTAAGTATGACACATACAATTTTACCAACACATGCCAAAGTGGTTTCAGAAGTTTGGATTTGTTTTACCTTTGTCATGAAGGGGTAAAACTAGCTCATGCTAAGTTTTTCCACATTTTCAAAGCTTTCTGTGTAACAAATCCTTTCCATATTAAACCTCTTTTCCTCCAAATGCAGAGTGCTCCCTTGTTATTTGCAATGATCTTAAAATAAACAACTATGCGTAAAGTTTACTATGTGGAACATTTACGTCGTCATACAAGATAATAAGACCCCCTTTAAATGTCTCCTCTCAACTATCATGTGAGCTTTTAGTTAACAGTTACTTTCTTTTACCATTTTACCATTGTGCTTCTGAAGCAACAAGGTACTAAGACTGTATCTCTTTCAGAATGGCAACCCTCACTTGTCTTCTTTTTAACTCCTTGCTCACTTTTCTGTATATAAATATTTATGGATTTACAGCTTTCTCCATTTCTCAGTGAATTATTTAACTGAATCCAAGAGATATTCAAAAACTTGAAGAATTTCTTGCATCTATCCCTAGACATGTATTTTTTTGTCATCTTTCCACAGAGCTGCTTGGAGTGTTTTTTTTTTTTCTTTGAGGTGAAAATTGTGGCACAATGCTAAATCACCAGTCGAACACTCCAAAAACATGTTTTTATACTACAAGCACTGGAAACCAACTAACTGCATGCAGGTAATTGCCAGTTAATTAATGATGTGATTTTGGAAAATAGCTGGGTGCACTGGTGATTAAAAGGGATGTTTACAAATGTAATCATGTATTTGTGGGTTTTTATTGTACTTAATTTAAATCACTTTGCAGAAATGTATTATTGCTTTTTTATCTATCGATCGGTATAAACAAAAAAAAAACAGAGTACACAACACCTATGAAAACAGATGACTTCTTTGCAAGTGATCACTGGTGGTTACTGGTTTATTTCCGACTGTACCTGCAATGGACTGATATTGGTCCATCTTGACCAAACTGTTCCTTAGTTTTGTGTACTTGGCCAATGAAGTCAATAAAACCTTCTCCTGATTTTGGCACGCCTTGTTCTGGCCAATCCGTAAACTGAAATTGTCGTACTGTACGAGACTGACCATCCTGTGGAGAGACATTACATGTTACAGAGTCTGGTTAGATTAAACAGAGAAAAACTGACAACAAATAAATGTTTGACTAGTTCATTTTTTTTTTCATTAAATTGTCAAATTTATTTTTATTTTTTGCAATAACAGAAAAAATAGTAGTGTAAGGTAAACTGACAGTATACTTGTTTTCATTATAGTCTTACAATGCTATTTTGCCATAGCTATTTTCCTGTCACTGTAAAATTTCTCTGCAATCATAATTTCCATTCAGGTAGACTGAAACTCACCAAAACAGGATATCTAACTTCCTGTAAAACCTTTTTCTTGAAGTGCATTACAGTACACAGAATGAGTACTCAGGTACACAGGGTTATGTTGCTGACATCAGGAGATTGGACATTGGCAAAACAGAGCTGTAAGGACAACCTAGTATAACCCTTCCCATTCCCAGCATGCCTTAGTTTTGTTAGCAAGCAATAGTAGAAGTGGATCGTAAGAACAGAGGTGAGGGATCTACAGTCAGGTCCATAAATATTGGGACATCGACACAATTCTAACATTTTTGGCTCTATACACCACCACAATGGATTTGAAATGAAACAAACAAGATGTGTTTTAACTGCAGACTGTCAGCTTTAATTTGAGGGTATTTACAACCAAATCAGGTGACCGGTGTAGGAATTACCAGAGTTTGCATATGTGCCTCCCACTTGTTAAGGGACCAAAAGTAATGGGACAGAATAATAATCATAAATCAAACTTTCACTTTTTAATACTTGGTTGCAAATCCTTTGCAGTCAATTACAGCCTGAAGTCTGGAACACATAGACATCACCAGACGCTGGGTTTTCATCCCTGGTGATGCTCTGCCAGGTCTCTACTGCAACTGTCTTCCATTCCTGATTGTTCTTGGGGCATTTTCCCTTCAGTTTTGTCTTCAGCAAGTGAAATGCACGCTCAATCGGATTCAGGTCAGGTGATTGACTTGGCCATTGCATAACATTCCACTTCTTTCCCCTAAAAAAACTCTTTGGTTACTTTTGCAGTATGCTTTGGGTCATTGTCCATCTGCACTGTGAAGCGGCGTCCAATGAGTTCTGAAGCATTTGGCTGAATATGAGCAGATAATATTGCCCGAAACACTTCAGAATTCATCCTGCTGCTTTTGTCAGCAGTCACATCATCAATAAATACAAGAGAACCAGTTCCATTGGCAGCCATACATGCCCACGCCATGACAATGCTTCACTGATGAGGTGGTATGCTTAGGATCATGAGCAGTTCCTTTCCTTCTCCATACTCTTCTCTTCTCATCACTCTGGTACAAGTTGATCTTGGTCTCATCTGTCCATAGGATGTTGTTCCAGAACTGTGAAGGCTTTTTTACATGTCGTTTGGCAAACTCTAATCTGGCCTTCCTGTTTTTGAGGCTCACCAATGGTTTACATCTTGTGGTGAACCCTCTGTATTCACTCTGGTGAAGTCTTCTCTTGATTGTTGACTTTGACACACATACACCTACCTCCTGGAGAGTGTTTTTGATCTGGCTAACTGTTGTGAAGGGTTTTTTTCTTTACCAGGGAAAGAATCCACCACAGTTGTTTTCCGTGGTCTTCAGGGTCTGTTGGTGTTGCTGAGCTCACTGGTGCGTTCCCTCTTTTTAAGAATGTTCCAAACAGTTGTTTTGGCCACGCCTAATGTTTTTGCTATCTCTCTGATGGGTTTGTTTTGTTTTTTCAGCCTAATGATGGCTTGCTTCACTGATAGTGACAGCTCTTTGGATCTCATTTTGAGAGTTGACAGCAACAGATTCCAAATACAAATAGCACACTTGAAATGAACTCTGGACCTTTTATCTGCTCATTGTAATTGGGACAATGAGGGAATAACACACACCTGGCCATGGAACAGCTGAGAAGCCAATTGTCCCATTACTTTTGGTCCCTTAACAAGTGGGAGGCACATATGCAAACTCTTGTAATTCCTACACCGTTCACATGATTTGGATGTAAATACCCTCAAATTAAAGCTGACAGTCTGCAGTTAAAGTACATCTTGTTCGTTTGATTTCAAATCCATTGTGGTGGTGTATAGAGCCAAAAATGTTAGAATTGTGTCGATGTCCCAATATTTATGGACCTGACTGTATGTCCTGTAATACTCTCAAAGAAAAGGATTTTATTTGAAGTTTAAAAAATCCTATTCTCTTAAAGAATAAGCTCACCTTTTCAGAAAAAAATAATAAATGCACGTACTTTTGCAGAAAAAAAAAAAAAAAAAAAAAACCTTGCATTTATAATTTTTTCTTACAGGAGCCCTGAAGCATTGCAACCTTGATTACTAGATCAGCGGTAAAATGTCAGATTTCTGCAGACAAGCCCTGCAGCTTTCAGACCATACCTGCATACTGGCTGACTGCGAACTGCAGGGCTTGTGAATTAACTACGAGAGCCATTTTGGATAAGGGATTTCTGCACACTTCTTACAGCAAACACTGTATAGTGAGCTTTAACCCTGTAGTGTCCCAGGAGGACACATTTTAATGTGAGTTTTACTAGACTGATTTAAATAAAGGCAGTTTTGAGTGGAAATATTACACTATATTAAGCATTTTTTTCAAATGGATGCGGAGCGATCTGGAGATGTTTAAAAGTGCTGGCTAACGGTGGTGAAGATCTATGTACCAGTATACCCTCCCGGGTTAAAGGGAAAGCGCAGTTTGACCTGTCATTGCGGGTCAAACCTGGAGGTGACACAGGAGCACTGTACACGTGTATACAGTAGTGTGTTACACTGGTCTATTTGAAGTACAGTGGATTTAAAGGGACGGTTCACCATTTTTTGAGACCATATTCCGATGACACTTATAGTTGAGAGTATTTGGATCACGATTTATGGGATATATACCACACAAGTCCCACCACGTGCTGATATTCAAGATTTAAAGGGACAGTTTTACTATTAAGGATATTTATTTGTTATTTGTGTGCACAATTCATTTAGAGCACTGGTTATGTGCAGTTTATGGAGTCCTATATGTATGTATTGATTAGACGTCTGGTATAACACACATTGATTTTCACAACCATAGTCTTTTGCTTTTGCATGTATTTATTATTTAGCACTATATTTTGTGTATATATATTGTTGCGCTGCATTTTTCCATTTATTTATTTATGTTGTACATTTGGGAACACATTATATGCTAGCCGCACAAGTTTTTTTAGGAGGTCTATAGCGCTGAGGGTTTTCTATACACATTAACTAGAACGCTCATCAGAGCTCTCGCAGTCCATTTAGAATTGCAAGCCATCAGCTTTGGTGGCAGACGGTAGCTGTAGCTTATTCATTCACAGGAAACTGTGAATGAATGATATGGCCGTGTGGGCAAAACCCTGCATAGCCACATTGTTTTGAATTGTGATAGCGGTGCTTAGAGAAGACCCCCTACCCATTGTCACACTACAGGGGGATTGAGGGGACTGGCAGCAGAAGCTGGAATATGTTCCATGTTCCACGCTAAACATGGGTATAAGGCCCCTTTCACATGAGCGGAGCTATTGGATCCGCTTGTCTGTTTTTCAAGCGGACCAAATCGGACACTCCATTGCTCTCTATGGAGCAGCGGGTGTAAGCGGACATGTGTCCATTTACACCCGCTTGCATCCAATCCCGTCCGCTAAAAACAGACCATCTGGCGGATCGGATAACCGCCTGTCTGCTTCCATCCGACAGCTGGAAAACCAACATCCGATCGGCATCTGACCAGTGTGTTATGGCTGAGGGGAGCACAATAGCTCAGCAGGGAGATCACTGTACTAACATTTTTTTGGGTTGAACAAAAATAGAAAAAAACATGATGGTGTATACAAGCAATTGGCTGTCAGCTCAGAAATTCACCTCACAGAAGTGATGGAAGCTAGAAAGGCAACCTTGTACTTGTAGAAAGGACAGACAAAAGGGAAATATCTAGTAGGTTCAAAGGGTGGTCTTTGAAGATCCAAGTGTGATGGCAGACTTTGTGAGAAGTCCATTTCCTAGCTTTCAAGAGCATAGGGATAAAAGTATTTTTGTGCTGAGTGAACTCCTGGATGCTGTGCACTGACAGTTGGAATACAGAACCATAAAGCAATACCTGTATACACACACAGGTGCGCTTCCTTCAAATGTCATATAAATAAATAACTGTGAATGGGGACCACAATACACTGATTGTGAATAAAATAAATCTATAGAAAGATGTGAAGCAATTAAAATACTCAAACCATAATATCATATATGTGCGCAAACAAATGCATGGCACAAAAGATGCATGTCAGTGACCACAATACACTTAATGTGAATAAATATGTACAAAAATGTGAAGCAACAAAAATACTCAAACCATGATATTATATGTATGTGCAAACAATTGCATGTCACACAACGTATGAAAAAGATGAAATACAAAAAGTTAAGTCCATGAGGTAGATCCAGACCCAGTGAGCAGGGAGTGCAAATCCAAGCTTCAGGACGCACTGAGCAGAAAATGTTCATCACAATAGTTCCTCCACCACACAGTTTGCCTCTTACCAAAAGATGTTGATCTCTATTTAAGGATATCAAAATGTGTTTGATGTGTGTATGCCTCTCCTGTGAGCCCAAGCAGTCCTCTGCCATTTCAACCAACCAAACACTCAGGAGTTATTGGATCACGGAACCAGGCATATATCCTCACAAGGAAGCCAAAGGAGACAGCATATTGGAAACCGCCACACAGGTTTATTTCAGCAAAGCACAGGCAAACACAGGCTGATGAGTACAGAGAAGCACAAGCAAAAACGCTACCACACTATCCAAGTATAACTGACATGAAAACGTCACCGGCATGTTTCACTGTCATCCAGTGTTCTCAAGGGAAATGGAGCAACATTGCAGTTAGATGACAGGGAAATATGTTGGGGATGGGGGGGGGGGGTCGCTAACAGGTGATGTTATCATGTCAGCTATACTTGCATTGTGTGATATGCATTT